AAAAAATAATAAAATAATTGAGTCAATGGCTGACACCTATGTTTCTCTTTCCTGTTGCAAAAGCCATTTGTAGAATATTCAGAGCTTGTGAAAATTGCTTTATGAAATGGAAGACCACAAGACTGTATTGCCTGATGTCCTGACCACAACAGGGTGTGTGTGTGTGCGGGGGAAGGAACTCAGGAGGCCCTGGCCACCACCCACCCAGAAGTCAGCTGGTTAAAGAAACACAAGCGGGTCTAGGGAGAGAGCTTAGTCAGTAAAATACATGGATGAGTTCAGTCTTAAGAACCTATATCAAAACTTGAGCATTGTGTCATGTGTTTACAAGAACTCAATACTGGAGAGGCCGTAACCTGTCAGTCTAAGGTACGAGGTGCAGGGCAATGGGAGGCTCTGTCTCAAATATAAAGTAGGTGGCATTTCTGAGGAATGACATCCAGGGTTATCCTCAGGCATCCAAAGGTACACAACACACACACACACACACACACACACACACTCACACACACACACTCACACCCAGGAGCACAAACACAAGTGTGCAGGGGTAACACTGTGCTCAGAAACAACCCTAGGCTCACTGAGTAGCTGTCAGCATCCAGAGAGTTGCTTGTTGTTTGCCTGAACTTGGAGAGATCCATCCAGGAGTGAGGCCAGAGTACGGAGTAGCGGCCCAGCAGCAAAGTGGACCTACAGGCTTCCATTCCACCTTACTCTTCTCCAAATTTCTGCCGCAGGATTGCCAAATTGGAAATATCTTGGGCAAAGAGGAGGAAAAAGACGGAATCCACTTAAATCAGGGAGAAAGGCAAGTCAGTGGAAACTGTGGGCTCCTTTCTCTGGCATGCAGCTTTGTGTGGGGTCTTGGAAATGATGGGCATGCTCCCCAGGGCAGCCTCTTGGAGAACAACCCTCCCCAACACTGCACAACTTGTGAAAAGATAAGATTTCTCAGCAGATGCAAAGCAGGAGGGGACATTTGATGCCTGCCTTATACAAGTCACCAGTAATCTCTCTTGCATCACTCAATTTGTTAGCATTGACTAATAGGCCACATGCCTCCACTGAAGCCTACAAATATAAGCACTGGCCCTGCAAGCTGACTTCCTGACCCGAGCAGCAAGCAGCAGGCATGGGGCATGCTGGGCGCCAATTCCAAGCCCTGCTGTGGAAGAACTGGCTCTGTAGACTGCGGCACCCGGTGAGTGTCCTGGTTTTCCAGAGGGTTCCTGGGAGGGAGGATTGCAGAGACCAGGGTCTGATCTTGAGTGCCTTGCCTCCTGTCAGGTGCCAATGTCCTGCAGGGTCATTTCCCACCAAAACCTGTCCTATGGGCTAACATGGCCGAACTCTCATGACCTGTCTATTGCCTTATTAAGGTAGGAAAAGGCTTATCAGAAAAAGGCTAATTAATTTAGAAATAAAGTAAGAAGTAGAGTTTGAAAAATTGGTATTTGGGGCATTTGTTGTAAAAACACCTACAAATATTCTGGCTTAAGAGACAAGGCATTAAAAGGTTTAATGCACAAACATCATTATTACAGGGACGGATTCTAAAAGCTGAGGGCTAAGAACAGACTTCACATGACTTACCCACTCAGTATTGGTCTCTGATATCCTATCTTTTGTGTTAATGCACATCTTTTTTAGAACTGTAATCAATTTACAGCAGCTCAGTTTTCCTGAGGAAATTGTAGTCTCTCAAACCAAACTTGTGCAAACATATAAGTAAAAAAAATCCTGAAAGTGTGTATTTTAATGAAGTATTGTTGTGATGAACAATCTTTTATTCCCCGGTCAGCGTCAGAGCTAGAGATACACCCTCCTCAGCAGTGAGTCTATGGCACAAGTCCTCTATCTGAAGAAGGCTAGTGACTGAAACTGAATTTCATTTGGCTGACTCCTTGACCAGCGTATCTTGCTTCCCTTCTCACAATGAAGCAAGTGTTAAGGGAGGCTTTCTTTGTTCTGCAACATCAGAGGAGATCGGGCACATTCAGTGTGGCATGGCAATAGACATACTGGGACACCAGGATCTGAACTGTCTCAGTTGAGAATTTGATAAGTTTTGACACCAGGAATGAACAGGTGAAACACATGCTTTTGATGAACTCGGTGTAGCTGGCTGTGGTGTTCCTTTTAAGAACAGTGGATTTCATTAACATGTAAACATGCAAACATATCTTCCTTCCTGTGAAACAGTGTTCCACAGGAAGCTGGCTTCCCATGCTCCCAACCATTCTTTCTCTTTTAAGTACATGAATTCATGAACTTCAGTAGCCCAGTGCTGGGGAAGTAATTGAGATTTCCTAACTTCTTTGTGCTCTGAGTTTTTTACGTTTTCACAATACACACTGCTGTGGGGGAAATGTCTTCAACAGAAACATTCTGCCCCTGCTTTGTGTGTGTGTGTGTGTGTGTGTGTGTGTGTGTGTGTGTGTGTCTGTGTGTCTGTGTGTGTCTGTGTGTGTGCTTATTTAACACAGTAACCCCCGTACCCCATTCTTTTTCATTTTATTTTCCTCTTCAGCATTTATCATCTATAATAACGCACAGCAGATTTACTTGTTAATTGCCTGTGGGCCCTGCATTATTGTGTACCATTCAGGAGAGTGAAGTATTTTTCTAGTTGTTCACAGTCTGTTCCCCAGCACCCAGAACAGTGCCTGGCACACAAGAGGTGTCTCCCTAACCTTGGTTGAATTGGACATGATGATGCACACTTGGAATCTCAGTACTTGAGAAATAGAAGCAAGAGGATCAGGAGTTCAAGGTTATCCTCAGCTATATAGTGAGTTCAAGGTCAGCCTGGGCTGCATGAGGCACTGCCTTAAAGAATAATAATAATATAAGACAATAAAAATAAAGCATTGGTGGCTGAATGGGAAAGGAAGGAATAATGTACTTGTTCATGGATTCTCTGCGGGGGGACAAGTGTGGCCCTGCCCTCAAGGGGCCACAATCAGTCGTGAAAAAAAATCAACCAAATATGTAATTGAACATTATATGAACCCATTTTGGAAGATGTATCCCATAGATGACTGTGTCCAAATGGGAGATGGTGTTGTGCAAGGCTATCTATCATGGCACTGTTTACAACACAACAGAGTTGAAAGGACAGGGGTTAGTACAGCATTCAGAACATCTGGACTGGCCTTTTCCATTTACTAGTTGACTTCCTTAGGAATATTTCTTAGCTAGATTTCTTTCCTATGGGGTTGCGAGACCTGAATGGTTAGTGTGTGATGTGCTCACAATGGGGCTCAGCATTTGAGAGGAAGCTGTTTTCTGTTTCCAGGGTGTAGGACAGGATATGGTGGAAAAGTATGCCTCAGTCACCTATGGGCTGTGAGAGGCAATGAGAGCTCTAGGTTTCCAGCTTGCACAATCAAGTTAGAGCAGTACCCCAGCAGTGACAGTATGGCAATGCGTTTACGTCTCTAAATCAATTGTAGTGGAAATATTGAGGACAGGTTCCTCTGCGTGAATGTCTTAAACTGAACTACTTTCCTTAGCTGTCACCTGCTCTCCAAGGATGACCTGTAAATTCTTAGTTTTTACATTATGGAAATAAAATGTTGGCATAGATGGGAGCAAGCAAGTCTGACAGAATGAAGAAACAGCCTCAATTAAATGTTTACTTAGTGAATAAGAACCTAGCTCTGTTCACAAGTTGAAGGAAGCTTATGTTTTACATTTCCTTTAAAAAAACCCTTCATTTTATTATTTTATGATTATAATTCTTTTATTTAATTTTGTTTTTAAAGGCTTATTTTTTATATTGTGTGTGTGCATGTGTGTGTGTGTGTGTGTGTGTGTGTGTGTGTGTGTGTGTGTGTACTTACAGAGGTCAGAGGAGGGTGTTGGACACCCTGGATCTGGAGTTACAGGTGGTTGTGAGATGTCTGATGTGAGGTCCTTTATAAGAATAATAAATGCTCTTACCTGCTAAGCCATCTTTCCAGCCCCTGTAACTCCTTTAAAAGCATCTGTTATGGAAATCTCAAAGAAAAATGCCCATCCTCACAATGGCTGAGATTCTACTGCTCTTGGAAAAATTGTTTAGACAGATGTTTACTTTTATATTTATTTTAATGTCACTCATTTTATAACTCTTGATTTTTAATTTATCATATAAGCAGTATTTAACGATGGAGAAGTAATTTGAAAAACACCCGCAATTCCACTGTACTATTTCATCTGCTACTTTTATGGCATATAAAATACAAATATTTTGCATTGTTAAAATCATAGACCTCTCTGTTTTCATTTAACACTAAAGTCCAACATTTGAAAACATTTTATTGATTTGAGAATTTCACACAATGTATTATGTTCGTATTTAGAACCCTTCCCTCCTCTACACTCCTATGTTACTATCCATCACCCTAGACTTCATGTCCTCCATGATTATTTGTCTTGTATTTTTTAAAGGCCTATTGAGTCTAACTTGTGTTTCCAAAATGCTCTTAGCTGTGGGTCTACCCCTTGGAGTTTGGATAACCTACCAAGTAACACACCAGTAAGGAAAACTGAGTCTCCTTCTCCCAGTAGCTATTAATGGCTAATAGATCCTCAGGTAGAGCTGAGGCTTCTTGCCAAACTTCCCCCTTCATGCCACGTTTTTGTCTGACTTGGGTTTGCACAGGTCTTGTGCATGCTGTTGTAAGTGTTATGGGTTCATATGTGTGACTACCCTATGTGGGAATATAACATGGTTTCCTTGTATTTATCCACTGCCTCTGGTTCTTACAGTCTTTCTGCCCTGTCTTCTGCAGTGATCCCTGAGCCTTTGGAGGAGAGGTTGTGACATAGGTGTCCCATTTAGGGCTGAGCACTGGATCAAGGTCAAAGCATCTTGATTCAGAGAAAGTTGAATAGAGTGGATGATGCCCTCAGTAGCATCTGTGGATACAACCAATGCAAATTCCTCAGTACTGCCATAGCCAGTGGTTGGAGCCAGGGTTTTCCACATGAATTTATGTATTTGTATTTTCCTTTTATTCTTACTATATAACCATTGAAGTCACTACTTATGACTTAAAAAATATAACAATAAGAAAATACCATGAAAATACACGTGTGATCACACTAAGTGTGATCGTTTATCTTGATTGCCAACTTGATGGGATTTAGAATCACCATGGAAATACATCTCTGGTGTGCTTGTGAGCGATTATCTAGGTTAGGATAATTGGAGTGGGAAGACTCGCCCTAAATGTAGGGTTCCATGGACCAAATAAGAAGGAGGAAGTGAGCTGGGCACCAGCATTTGTTGCTTTCTGGTTCCTGGCTGTGGCTGCGATGTGACCAGACACCTCCTGCTCCTGCTGCCATGCTATGATGGACTGTATCTTCTGGAACTGCAGGCCAAAATAAACTCTGGCTATCAGAATGCTGTCATGGAAAGGCCTGGGCCACATGACTCCGGTGCAAGACCAGTGGTCTGATCCTGCTCAGATTTTGGTTTGTCCATCATTGTCCAGGAGTTGCTGGAGACGTTGATTGGAGCCCACTAGTCTCTGCTTAGCCCTTGATGGCTATCATGACAGTGGCTAGTCCTGTTTTCCTTGGCATGCTAGTACTAGCCAGAAGCCACAAGAGTGTTGTGTTCCATTCTGGCGATCCCAGCTCAGGGCATTCTCATGGGCACGCAGTCAGTCAGAAGTGGGGCACTGCTGAGTGGGAACTTGCTGATAAACCTCTGATCTTTCTGCCCTGTCCCTCAGCAGCTGGCTATCCTAAGAGACACAAAATTCACATAGATGCATATGCAGGCCCTGCTGAATAAGACTGGATTGAGAAGTGAGGGTTCTCAGAGTGGTGTGCTTGCCATTGTACCACTCTAATGGTTCCCAGAAGCTATAAGGAAGTTGCCCATTTCCCATGGACAGCATCATAGCCACCTATGTTCAGATCTGGATACCTTGTGATAGCTTGAAGCTCTGACTGAGGACTCGACACAATTGGAGACTAATCTGGTTTCTATGTGGGTAGATAAGACCATTAAAAGGCACCCGTGAGGTCCTGGCATAGGCTTGGGCTGTCCTGGGTGCTGGGACACACCTGTTCCTGACTCTGAAGAGGAAACTGTCGGGCCATTGTGAGGCTACTGTAGGTCATTTGGGTATGTCTCAGTGACCCTGGGAAAACAAAGTAGAATCTAATTACTGAGAAGCAATCATGCTTTTATGCATTGAG